GCTAAGCGGTGACGAGGCGCCTCGCCTCCAAATGGACTTATGAAAGCAAAGCGCGCTTAGGCGCGCCATCATCTGTAGCAAAAGTTACAACGTAAGGGGAGAATCATTTAAGGGATACGAAATTTAATTAGCCGGGACAATCATATTTTAAAGGAGGGAGTAATGCAAGAAATGTCATGTATGCTTGAACATGATGCATGCACGATCCGTACGTCCTCACCATCCTAGAAAAATTTAAAGGCTAGCGAAATATACGGTGGCATACATACGTTCTCTCATATACGGTAGCTAGTCGATCTACAACGATACGTTGTTAGTGTACCTGCAGAAAATTTCATTTCAGCCCAGTAATTCCCAAAATGCATAAAAGCGTGCAATAACTAAATACTTTCATACATACATCCCCGATGCACATACTCTAGTATCATAACTACCCCCGAGATACCCACATTTAAGTACTCTCATCGATACATGATTGAACATGTAAATATGCGAGCAACCACAACTACTCTCCCTAGACCGACGATTGGGCGGTCATGCTCTCACAACTCCTACTTACCAGAAGCGAGAGGTATTTGATCCAAACATTACCACCCAAGCGGATGGCATCCATATAATAGCACGCCAGTATGGACGACGAAAAAGTAAACAAGCAAGAACCCCCAAGTTAGTACTTTAATAAGCCACCTAAGAGTCCTTATTTGGGCATAAGGGATATGACCACCGGCAATACTTAGTATTTAATTTAGGATTTTCACAAATACTTTTGTTTTAAATACACAAATGACGTGTTTAGTGTCAAATCTTGCTCGATGCCACCGTATGTAAACCGACCAAATCATAAGAACGTAAGTACAAAAACAATCACCGGGCGATCAAATTCACATGTACTTAAGCTCCCATAATCCCGGTGAGTCCGGAAATCACGAAGGATTTCAACCAACTCTCGACATACAAACCAAGATCGTAATGATTCAACACAAATATGTGAAATAATACAACAAAACAAATAAGAAATAAATCAAAGTCATTGCTTTGTTGGGCGGTCCGAAAGAACGGCGTGCCCATGAACACGTCTTTGGCGCTGCCTAAAAGACGCGTCATGCGCCCACGCTGGACTCCCGCCTAGCTTGGCGACCGACGTCTGCGGGGCCCAAGGTCACCGACCCCATCCGTCGGCCGAGACGAAGACAGGGAGACGGTTCACGGCGCTAAGGCGACGGGGAACTTCGCCGACGGTGACTCCTCCGCGAATTGGACAACACCGGTGTGCTCCCCAAGTTCCCACGCTCGGACCGACCTACAAAACCGAAGCTCTAGCGGTCCTTAGGTGCTCCAACCACGAGCTCGGCGACTTCGGCCATGGCGCCGCGGTGGCGCTTCGGTGTGTCCGGCAAGCTGGCGGACCAAAGATTGGTGGAAGGATTTACACCCAAGCAGCTACTCGTGAAGGAGAAAGCTAAACGCGAGCTAAAAATGGAGGAGGGGGTGCCGTCTTGGCCACGGTGAGGTCACCGGCGCGGCCATGGCGCAGCGGGTGTCGAAAAGGTCACAATGACCTTACCCAAGTCTAATTGACGCAATGTGAGGTGGAGGAGGTGGAGTAGGTCACGGCGCAAATTGGGCGAACGAAACAGGCAACAACGCTTTGCGGTGGGCGAAGCGAAGGGGCGAATGCGAGCAATGGCGGACGGCGATGCTCTCTTGCGCCGCATACGGTGGAAGGCGAGGAATGCGAAATGGGAAAGGGCGAAAAGCGTTTCGGGCAGCGCGAGGTAGCTTCAAAGCGCAGCTGCGGACGGTAGGACGCAGCGCGGCAGCGGCGTGCTGATGATCAGCGATCGACGACGCCGCGTACGCGCACGCGCACGCGTCCGGCGAATTCTCAAACGGTCGGTCATCAGAGCTCCGATTCGATTGCTCAATCCAAGACCGACAGCGGCGCCCATTCGACGATCATTAACTCCTAATCCGTGGCGATCCGTGTTAAGTCGTAGTTAACAAAGTTGGAGATCTACATAAGTACTACAAGTTTGCTAATTGGAGCTCAAGCTAGTTTGGCTTGGTCGAGTGAGATACGGCTCCAAACATGGGTACACGAAACTGTACTTTAGTTTAGGACTTAGAAAAATTCGCTAAGTATGAATCAAGATGTAAGACCTGACCGGTGGGCCATGTTTGAGCATGTTCTAGCCATTTTCATGAGTTGGTCATAAAACAACTTTTGTTCCTTGATAAATTTGCTAAACTTTTGTAAAGAGTGCACACCATGCAAAGTCTCTAAGTTGGACTTTTAAACAGTCAAATAGTGGCACTCTAGGGTTCCTTTCAAGTCAAACCTCCATTCAAGGGCAATTACATCATTTTGACCTACATGAACAGTGTCCAAACAAGTAACCTAAGTGTAGTTAAGGTGTATCGCACCATAATCAACCACTCTACAAACTTGTTATACCACTTCTAAGGATCACATGGAATAAAGCGACTAAAACAAACAATTCACTCATACGTTGCAATGTAATGTTTCATATGTTTCATGGCTAGGTTGTTATTCTACACTTGTCACCTTACTACCATGTTGCCATGTTTCCAAGTATGAGAGTTTCATGTTACATTCACATGTTACACCATTACTATTCACAACAATCAAGCATGAAACATACACAGTTGAAATTGTTGCACATGCATGTTTCAAAGAATAATGGCGATGATGACATAGATGATGCATATGTTTATGAAATGAAATGCACTTAGTGGAAGCCAAACACCGAGGGTGTTACAATCTTCTTCCTCCTCTCCTCATCTTCCCTTGCTTTGAAAGCGTCGATGGCGAAAGCGGCAGAGAAAGACACTGCCGAAAGCAAAGAACGCAAAGACGCGCCGACGAGCCACCAACGCCAAGCCGATGCATCACATCGTGGGCTGTGGCGGTAGCGGTTCCGAGAGTCGACGGGAGGACGCGCATGCAGCCAACGAGAAGGTGTGCGTACGGAGATAACATGAGAAGACAGGGAGGGGCCGTCCGAGCTCGGCGTCGCCATCACGAGGAGCGGGGCCACCGCCAGTCGTAGAGCGGCGAAGCAGGGCCTCCGCCGGTCGCGTCGTGGAGGGGCCAGGGCCGCCGCGGGGTGGTAGGGGCGCCGCCGGTCGCCGTGGGGGTGACTTCCACTGTGGGGGAAAGGGCCACCGATGGGGGCGAAGCCCGCTGCGGCTAGTGGGGTCGACTCCCACCGCGGCCGGTGAGGGGCAAGTCACAGGCGTGGATGAGGAGCGCCGTGGGCGCCGGCCAGGCGGGAAGGTGGACGAGGGCACCACCACCAGTGCCATGGAGGAGGGCGCCGCCGGTGGAAGGGAAGAGAGCAGCAGCGGCGGCCCCCAGCCTCCCCATGCGCTCCTGCTGCTAGACGAGTGAGCACCGTCGCCCTGAGATCTGGATCTAGACAAACGAGGAAGACGAGAGAACAATAAGAGAGAGAAAAGGGAACGATGGAGTTCCTCACTGCAGCTGCTTGCCATCGTCATCGACGCTACCAAAGAAGGGAAGATGAGGAGAGGAGGAAGAAGAAGATGACATGCGGGACCCGCGTGTTACCGAACGGGGAGAGAGATCATGATGAAGTATACGTCTTCAGATATCGCTCTACAAATGGGCCCAGTGCCGTGTCCATCGTGTGATTCTCGACATATATTTGGGGAAAAAAATTATAATGACATACTTCAAAATAGACGAACAGGCGTTTCTTCGAACATTGAAAATTATAATAGCATCAATCAAATAATCTTTTTTTTAATATCCGAACACTCCGTAGACCACGCGATGTAACACAGACTTAGAGCGTGTTTAGTTCCTGGAAGTTGGAATTTAGGGTCACTGTAGCACTTTCGTTTTTATTTGGCAATTAATGTTCAATTATGGACTAATTAGGCTCAAAACGTTCATCTCGTAATTTCCCACCAAACTATGTAATTAGTTTTTTTTCATCTACATTTAATACTCTATGCATGGGGCATAAATGTTCGATGTGATAGGTACTGTAGCATTTTTTGGAAATAACATTTTTTGAAAATTTGGGGTACAACTGAACACGCGCGAGTAAACTGCTTTTATTAGGCCGTCACCGCCACGCTGGTTCTTCCCCCCGCATGTTCGATGTTCGAGCCCATCCTCTTGTCTTGTCCACCCAATCCAACCCCTCGTCCGTAGATCTATAGCCGCTACGCGCAAGCGGGCGGACGATGCGGCGCCGCTGATGCGATCAAGCCTCCGTAGCCCGACGTTAGCTAGAAGACGGAAGCGCCGTAGTACTGGTACGCACGAAAGAACCCGCGGCCAGATCGTTCAGGCCCAAGTTTATCTATGATATGAAAGCGTGATTTTAAGGGGAATTGGTGGTTCTAGCGAGTTTGTCTCAGGGAGTTACTGTGGCTGGCGCTGGTGGTTGCTTTAATGTAGGATGCGTGCTGGGCACCAGTTGGTGCGCGCACGCCGCGCACAAGTGTTCGATTTTATGCCCGGAAGGAGCATGCCCGCTCTCTTTTCCGTTGTGTCTACCTTCCTCTAGCTGTTGAAGCCATGATTTTGAAGGGAATCTGTGGGTAAAAATAGTTTTGGTGGGTCAGTGCTCTGGGCTTCGGGTGCTTGCAGAATGTAGGAGGCATTCTTCTTCCTAGTCAATGTCTGCACGCAGAGCGCACCAGAGTTTGATGATGTTGGTGCGAGGACTTCGCCCCATCTGTTTTCTGTTCTTTGTCTGTTCTGTTCACTAGTTGTGCTGGTAGAAGGGCATCATATTAGAGTTGCTTCTTACTTTATCTTTATTTTCATCTTTCATGCAGTTGGCCATTCTTTTTGTTCAGTGTTAGCCTGCTCTGATATTTTTCACTTTTGATTTCATGAAGATAACCTTCCTCACTCTTGCATTTCCTTGGAATAGAGGTCTCGGCCAGGTGTCGATTTGGTTCAACCGAGAGAGCAACTGTGCAATACTATAACAACAACAATGCTGGATCTGGTTGCCATGGCAGCTGATGATTCTGCCCTGGCTGAGGATCTGCAGGTTGAAGAGGTTCTCCGGTTCTCAATTCAGTCAGAGGATGTCTGTGCAGTTTGCAAACAGGTCATCCGATCATTGGAAGCCTCATGGAAACCTGAAAATTGTGACCATGTCATCTGCATTGCCTGCTTCTGCCAATATGCACCTGAGACGGAGGCCACTGCACTGCCCAGGTGCGCCGTGGCGTCTTGTGATTCTTTGCGCAATACAGAGACACATCAGGGCATCAGTGTGCCTCAGAGCACTTTGATCTCAATTGAAGACATGGACCAGAAAGGGAAGAAACCACTAGATAGTACACTTCAAGAGCTTGGTCAATGTTCTCGAGGTGCGAGCGCAAAGATCAGCAGTGAGTTATACTGTGCCATCTGCATGGAAACAGTGCACATCGGAGAGTTCTTTCCCATTGATGGATGCACACACACATTCTGCACCAGTTGTGTGAGCCAGTACATTGCTGCAAAGGTTGAGGAGAATGTGTTGTCTATTGGCTGCCCTGACCCAGGATGCAAGGATGGTGTGTTGCACCCAGACGTGTGCCGCGATGTGATCCCGGCACAGCTGTTCCAGAGATGGGGTGCTGCGCTCTGTGACTCATCATTGGGGTCACTCAAATTCTACTGCCCCTTTAAGGAATGCTCTGCTCTGTTGGTTCATGATCCTGGCCATGGTGAGGCGCTGATAACAAATGTGGAGTGCCCACACTGCTGCCGGATGTTCTGTGCCCAGTGCAAGGTTCCATGGCACCATGGTGTCACTTGCACAGAGTTCCAACGACTGGGGAAGGATGAGCAGGGCAGGGAGGACCTACTGCTGAGGAAGGTCGCACAAAAGAGCAAGTGGCAGAGGTGCCCCAAGTGCAAGATATATGTGGAGAGGATCGAGGGCTGTGTTCATATCATCTGCAGGTACCGCTCACAAATTAAACATTCATTACATTGAGTACAAATGATGATCTTCTTTGTTCCAATTTACAGGTGTGGGCACTGCTTCTGCTACCTTTGTGCATCCCCAATGTCTAGGGACAACCATGCTTGCAAAACCTGCAAGCGAACCTGGTGAATTACCTGGAACTGCCAAGCTCTACCTGAAGGAAGGACATTCTTAATAACTAGTAGTATGTGTGAACTGCCAAGCTCTACCTGTAGGAAAGAGGTTCTTAACTAGTAGTATGTGTTTGGATGGTAAGTTGCTGTTACGACAGTCTCAGTTAGCACTAGCTTGTTGCACTAGTAGCAATTTGGTTAGCACTGGAGTCTATTACGCTAGTCTCAGTGGTGAGTTTGATGGTGGTGTTACCAAGACTGTCATTTCAGCTTTTGTAATACCCCAAGAATGCTTGGTAAATATGGATTTTTTTAGTATGGATTAAGTTATCTAATGAAGGTTACCGACTTTTAATGAGAGACCGAAAATTTGACTTCTTGATCCTTTCCTCGGAAGGATGAATGGAGAATACCAATGCTTAGAGTTTGTCAAATGGTTTTTATTTGACTATTGGATCGTGAAATAATAGCGATGGAAAGAATTTACAAAGGAAAGGAAAAGAAGCACTTCCACGCAGCTACAGTACCATGCAGGAACAGCAACGCCGTTTTTTTTTCTTTCCTCCTTTTTCCCTTTTTCCATCCCTGCCGATTCAGGTTACGAGTCCGGCTTCTTGTCTCACCGCGCCCCCTCCCCCCACCCCATGTCCACTCACGGAAGAAAAAAGAATAGAAGGGAGAAGGGGGAGGACAGGCTAGGGCTTGCCGCCGCAGACGACGTGCCGTTCTTCTCCAAAATTCCATCGGAACGACGATCCCATCGTAGCGATGAGGATAGGCAGAGGCTCGTCGTCGTGCTCTTTGTGATTGACCTAGGTGAGATTTCAGATCCTAATCCCCTTCTTTGGAGCAAGTTACATGGATCGAATCATCTAATTAGGAGGTGTTTAGTTGGAGTAATACCCGAAGTTAATCTCGCCCACCCACGTTCTGAAACCCCATCAGATTATGCAGTTCTGTTCATCGCTGTTTTAGGGCATCTTAGTGGCCTCAATAAATTTTTCCATTGTGGACAAAGTTGTAGAGGACTTCGTCATCTTTCTTTTGACGCCAAGAGCACCCTCATAGCCTCTGTATTTCAGAAGATATGGTCGTTTGAAGTAGACTGTTTTTCTGTGATGAGTTTTTGAACAGTTTTAGATTTAACCAGTTTTTGGTCTCCGTAATGGACGAATCTGAACTTGTGATCTAAAGAAAAGTTGTATTATATTGCTTAATCTTTCCAGATTGTTTTAGAACATGTTTTTTGGACGAGTATATCTCCAGGTATGTATTTTATAATCTTGCTGTCCTGTTATGACTGTCAGAATGTTCAGTTAACTTAAGGGGATATTTATGCTACCTTGGAGACCTCTTATGCCGAATCTTATAATACCAAAGTTGTAGATAATGAAATTTTCTATCATATGGTATATTTTGAGAATTTTGGAATGTATGGTTATTTTTCTATGAAAAAGAGAAGGGACAGTGCTGCTGTCACGATCGGTAGCGCGACAGTAGATGCTTAAACGGCGGGTTTCGGACGCTTTATGGTGTAATTTGTTGTTTGTTTTGTTTGTATGATGGTTTTGGTACTGAGTTTTGCTTGTGATCAGGTGGTGCACCTACGGAACACGCTTAGCTCTCACCTTTGATCTTCAGTGAAGGTAAGTAAACGTGGCGCTGTGGTCCACAAGCTTTAGCTGTTTTGTTTGAATTGCCTTCACTAAGTTTCGGTCGCTCACAATAGCCACATAATTTGAATTAAAGTAATTTATTTACTATGAAGTATGTTGTTTTCATAGCTTGTGTTATAGCTCTTTAATGTATGAATTATGAAGTATATGAATTGATGTGCATACATTGCAACATTCGCATTTTTGCACTCTTTCCGTTGATATGCATTTGAAGAAACCGTAGCCAAATTGGTGCAGTAAGTACTGGTACAACAACACACATTGATGAGCATTGTGGTTGCAGCCCTCACTCCCTCTTCTTGGGACTTGTAGGTAGAAGTGAAGTCATGCATTGCATTGTTTTGCATCATTCGCACTTGCATTGCATTGCATCATTCACTTTTGCATTGCATTGTTTTGCATCATACGCATTTGCATTGCATTGCATCATTTGCATTTGCACTTTTAATATATTTATGTTTTCTTGAAGCAATTGATGTATCTACTATTATGTTAATTAAATTTGATGTTTAATCAACTGTGATTTGAATAACTCAGTTAAGGCAATTTGCTTGCTGAGGTTTTCCATAAACCTCACCCATTGTTTTTCCCCCTCAGGTGATTGAGCTTGGAAGATGCATGCTTGGGATGGGAGTAACAGCACGTGTGCACGTCACCTTTGAGTTATACATATCTTTGGGACACATGTGTTGTAATAATAATAATTTTGACTATGGTTTAGTTGGTTTGTCCCATATGTTTTTATGTTGGATCATGATTTAGTTGAGTTATGATAGACTGTTGAATAGTAATGATTCTTTATCATTAACTTTTATGATTATTGTTGCTTCCGCGTACTCCGTAGTTATGGTTTTTTATTGTGCTGAAGTGAGGTAATTCTCTAGAAGATTTTGTCGGTGTTTTCGGACCACCGACGAGTAAATTTGTATTTACGCGTCTGGCTCAGATAGTGTACTCGGAGGACACAAAGGTTTATACTGGTTCGGGTGGAACGTCCCTACGTCTAGTTTACTGCTGCTTGTGTTATCGGCATTGAAAATTTGTAGTAGGGGTTACAAACAGGCGAGAGAGGGAGAGGATCCCAAGTCTGGTGAAAGGAATGAACGGATGCTGAGAGCTTGATCGCTGCTCAGCCGTGCGCTCGTGTCGTGCTCTTGTGTTTTTATCTCATGGTTCGGTCTTGTGCGGATTTGGATCGATCGGGTCCCCTTCATGGGGCGCCCTGCTTTCACTTTTATAGGCCAAGGGAAAGCGTAGGTTACAACGGAGGAAAAGAAGAACTAGAGAGAGGAAGGCTTCCAGGATCGTCGGGTCCTTCTTCTCCTTCATGAGGGTCCCACTGATCCTGTAGATGTCAACAGGGACGGCTCCACGTCGTGGCCCTGTCCATCACTGGCGCCATGCACAAGCGTCATCTACTGGTCAAGGCGTTCCATCCCGTCCCGGCGGACGTCGTGGTGAACTAGCGCGCCTATCAGCGTTTGTACGAGGGTTAGACAGAACAACACCGGTACGCCCTACAACTGTTCTTGATGTGAATCCTCAGGTATGGCCCATCATGGCCTCGGGTTACATCGAAGTCGTGCCTGCCTCTTCCACGGTGTCGAGTTTTGACCCAGCCCATACGCCTGGACCTAGAGTGGTTGGCGGCGATATGGGTCCCGTCCGGGCAAGATGGAGCCCATGGCCTCGTGGGTCGACGAGGCCGAGGCCGCTTGACCTTAGGGTCGAACAAGGCGAGCCCGCGGCCTCGGGTCGAACGAGATAGAGCCCCCGACCCGAGGTCGGTGAGGTGGGCCCCGACCCGGAGGTCGGGTGGTGCGGAGCCCCGCCTCGAGAGGTTGGGCGAGGTGGAGCCCGCGCACTGGGGGTCTGTTAGAGCTATAATCGCGCTCTTGACTACTCGGATGAATCAATGTTGATGACTATTAGCTCCTCCTCTTGGTACCCTAGTATTAGTCCCCGATAGTAGCCCCGAGCTGCATGGAGGAGTAGAATACTCCTCGAGAGGTTTTTTCAATGGGAGGACTCGAGGGCCTTGGCCTTCTTTTTGTTGCCCACGGCGTGCCCTGGGGACGGCGATTCCCTTTCGTCATGATCGGACCCCTTGGGGGTATAGTCGTGAGATTTGGTGGGTCAGAAAAGATCTTTCCTGATTCCGACCCCTACGGGGGTCTGTCATTCTGCGACCGCGCGTTTGGTCTCCTTGCGAGTCCAACTTTCCTCGAGCCCCCGCCCGTAGCAAGGGTCCGGTCGAGGGTCAGGTTGTCTTTGTGATCGTATTCCCTCAAGCGTTTTTTCTGATAAAAATGGAGGGGCTAAGTGGTGCCATGATTTTCCTCTATGGACGAATCATGGTGCTCGGTGAGCTATTAACGGGCTAGTTCGAGTGGAGCCCCAGCATCCCTTTCATGGGGGTCTAGCTCGGGTCAACTGGTGACCGACTCTAGATTTCCAGCGGTCAATCCATATAGTTCTCGGGTCCGCTAGACCGGTCCCGAGGGCTCTATGCCTTTCTTTGAGGCAAAACCATGGATTGTATCCGGCCGAGACTTCGACGTGGGTCAAGATGCTCACGACGCTCGTGTCTTGGGGTACTAGCCACTAGTGGGCCCATCCTTTGCACCCTCACTCTAAAGGTGCCCGGGCGCGTTGTTGAACCCACAGGTGGGCCAACCTTTGAACTCCGGGCCTCGACGGGGCATAGGAGTGTTTTCAGCTCCGTATCCCTCTTACCCGTGACGGGTTGTGGCCTGTTTGGGGAGGCAAAACATCCGGCGCGTTTTCCGAGGGGACGGCCATAGGTTGTGTGCACATGCCCCGCGATGAGACATGGTGATAGGTCATGGTAGGCGTGGAGATCTAGGTGGGCGGTTGGTTTTCTTGCACCCATCGCCCCTATAAAACCAAAGGGTTAGCCCTCCGTGTTTCATACGCACACCTGCATCCTTACCTCTGCAGCCACGCCGCCGTCGCCAACGCTTAGGTTTTCTGCCTCCGCATCTCTGCCGCCGTTGAGCTCGCATCCATCCACCCCCACCTCCAATGGATCCATGGTGCAGTTCCGACATCACCTTCCAGTGCATGGAGGGCCTTGTCTGTCGCAGTCTTCTCCATGCGTGGACCTCGGCCGAGGAGTGGTTGCTGCTCGGCAATGAGGATTCACCGTCGCCGCCCGACGGCTACGTGGTGTCGTTCACCCACTTCCACGAGCGTGGGCTTGCGACCCCTGCCCACAAATTCCTCCGGGGGTTGCTGCACTTCTACAAGATTGAGCTGCAAGATCTCAATCCCAATGAGATCCAAAGACATGGCGTTGTTCATCACACTGCATGGAAGG